AATTGCATATTTGGATTCTACGTAAAATTCTGAGCAGATTTCATGTGATATACCCTATACCTAAGTTCAACTGTTTTGGAAATATTGACAGTTGAAAATTGACTTTTTGCAACTTTGACAGGCTGTAAAACCTAATTGGTTAATTTTAGAGGAAAACCGATTTCACATTCCTATCTTAGATTTTGATAAACTATCATTTGACACCAACTTTGAACTTAACCGGAGATTAAATTTAACTGAAATTTTTAATCATGGATTTAATTCAAAGATGGTGTCAAATGATAGTTTATAAAAATCTAAGATAGGAATGTAAAATCGGTTTTCCTCTAAAATTAACCGTTCAGGTTCTACAGCCTGTCAAAGTTGCAAAAAGTCAATTTTCAACTGTCAATATTTCCAAAACAGTTGAACTTAGGTATAGGGTATATCATATGAAATCTGCTCAGAATTTTACGTAGAATCCAAATATGCAATTTAATACGGGGTGTTCCATTTAAAATAGTGATGTTGCCACTAGTTTAGAGTAGAAGCGGCAACACCGCATGGTCAAAAATATTTTTAAAGTGTAGATCATGGTCGTTTATCCCGGTTGCCAAATTTTCAAAAAGATCCGCTTTTTAGTTCTCCATAAACGTCTAATACGCCATCCACCGTGGGACACCCTGTATATTATTACCAAAATCGATGTGGATAACCATGAAAAATATAAAAGTTGTTGATTTTTGGAAGTTGCCAATTTTTCAGTGGAAACGCGCCTTTATATGTATAAAGGAGAAGACTGATTATTTTTGAAAACAGTGTCAAATGACTGCCATTATACAGAATGAGTTTTAATTATGGAACGTCTCAATCGAGGTCTCAATTATCTCGAAAACGGTTTGCAAGATTTTTATAAATTATGGTTTGAAAGAGTATTATAATATCGTCGATAATATGGTAGTATTTACATGGTTGTCAGATCTTTCATTTTTTCGGGAAATATCAGAAACTTTGTTTTTTTAAATGTATATTATGACATTTATGGATTCTGCGGAAAATTCAAGACATATTTCATGTACCTATCTTCGACTGTTTCGGAAATATTGACAGTTGAACATTGACTTTTTTGCAACTTTGACAGGCTGTGAAACCTAAACGGCCAATTTTACAGCGATACTGATTTCACATTCTCGTCTGTAGCTTTTCATAAGCTATCATTTAACACCAACTATGAATTTAACCGGAGATTAAATTCACCCAAACTTTCTAATCAAGAATTAAATTCAAAGTTGGTGTCAAATGATAGACATTTCTTACTGGTTTGAAGATTCGAAAATGTCGCTTTACTTTTGTTTTTATATAAAGTCTGTTTTTTTTTTAAAGATAATTCCCCAAGTCAAAAATTTAGTAACTATGTTGGCAACACAAGCGTTTTCTACACAAAAAAATTGAAAGCATTGACAATTTTACATTGTATTGCCAACAATCTTTAAAAAAAAACACACTTTAGTTGAAAGGACCCCGCAGAAACCTTATGAGAACTGGCCCTCAGTGGAATCTCATGAAATTTTGCATATTGATAGTTCTTGACCCATAGACTAAAAATGGGCACAAAGTTCTAAAAATTTGCTTTTTTGAGTTACAGTCGTTTGAAGTTGCGTCATATGTGAAATTGCTCAAACCTTATACAGTCTAGTTTTTTCGGTAACTTCGTGAATTTTAGAACGGTATATGCATAATATAATACGTTTGAAATTATTCGATTCTCGAAAGTACGACTTTTAAACCATAGACGTCCTAAGAGGGGTTTAAAAATAATTATGGATAAATAATGAGGTGAGTACGATATTCAGTAGAAAATAAAGCATTGTATGCACCATTCGAAACAAATCAACCCACTCGCTAGGACTCGTAAATTAAACTTTCTTCTCATTCATTTAACTCACTTGGTGTATAATAGTAGATTATACCACGAGTCAATAATGATAGCTATTATTCCCGAGGATTATTACGAACTGAGGCGCGTTAGCGGCGAGGGAGTAACATTCCGAGGGAATAATAGCCATTATTGCGAGTAGTATACTCTACTTTATTTACGACAAATTAATTTATTTGAGATTTTCAATGAACAAATTTCATCCGTCTCATAATTTTCAATACAAATCCACAAGCACTACACGTTTGACACTGACACTTTTGTGGAATAATGACCATTAATCCCGCTACTCGTCATTAATCCCTGGAGGAATAACATATGTCATTATACTGCCAAAATTACAAATATTATACGCACATTATATATTAGTCGTAAATAAATAACTATTATTTTATAATTATTTTTAACCCCCCTTAAGATGCCTATGGTTTAAAAGTGGCCATTTCTGGAATCGTATAATTTAAAACGTATTATACTACAATGATACTATGATGTTCTAAAATTCACGAAGCAACAGAAAAAACTAGACTATATAAGGTTTAAGCAATTTCACATATGACGCAACTTCAAACGACTGTAACTCAAAAAGGCAAATTTTTAGAACTTTGCGCCCATGGACTTTTTTAATCTACAGGTCAAGAACTATCAATATGCAAAATTTCATGAGATTCCACTGAGGGCCAGTTCTCATAAGGTTTCTGCGGGGTCCTTTCATAAAATGTCAGAGTGTCAGTGAAAATTCCATTTTTGTCATATTTTTGCCTTATTTCTTTTCAATAATTAATGGTTCAAAATAAAATAGTATACATATTTCGGTGGAAAGTTTTCACATATTGTCTCGAGAATTGGTTGCGAAGCACCTCGGTCAACTATGGTATCTTTCGACAATAATGGAACACTTTCCACCTCCGCATGTAATATACTATTTTTACCTTTACAATATTGACATTGTCCCAATTACTATCGTCCGAATCAATATGAATATAATCCAAACCATCTTTAACAAGGATGCACACTCCTCCACCTCGAGTATCTCTACTATGGTGGATTGAAGAATACCCCGGCGGGTTATAATATTTTTGTTCATTGGTGTAGATCCAGGTTTTCGTAAATACGATTATCATCATTCTTTCCCTGTAGAATATTGTTTAATTCGTCCAGCTTATAGCGAAGGCTTCTGATATTTATATACAGTATATTATATTTTGTGTTTTTTTTATCCATCTGGTTTAGTATATTGTCATTATATTTTTATTTTTAGTATAGGACTCTTAAGTCACTTTCACATCTTATTCTAATGGGATCTTCTAGGTCAGACTTTTTTAAATAAATCCTACCGTTCCTAACATATGTTGCTTTCATGTTATTTAGATTTTTGAATTCTCTCGTCTTTTTAAATAGTTGCTGGTTGAATCTGGTTAGGTCTTCATTCAGATATATATTGGTACCGCCTCCCAACAAGCCACACTCATTCACCTTGATACCTTTGGTTTCTTTGATCCTTTTTTGTAGTTTCACTCCTAAATCCTTATTGTTAAATTCAACTAATACGGGTGCATTTTCTCGTTTTGTAATTCTATAGACATCGTGTACATCATTTTCTTTCACTTCAACTTCCATTGCCTTGAACAAGTTCTTGGCAATAGTTTTTGGTTCAACATCTTGCTTAGGCACTCCAGATAGAATCAAGTTACATTCCTTCTCTCATTGTTGATTTATGCTAATTTGTTGTTCCATTTGTTGCACTTTTAGCTTTAGTGAGTTGTTCTCTTCCTTTAACTTGCGTATTTCAAGTAAGATTGTGTCTATTTGCTTTTATTTTATCAAAATTGTCGGATACAACTTGTAAAGATTTTTTAATTTCAGCTAGATCAGAGTGTGTGGCTTCCCTGAACGGTTGCAGGAACTCATAATAAATCCTTTACAACAGTCTTTAGCTTATTTTTTATCCATTTCACGTATTTTTGATGAATTTTCCGGAAGTTTAACCTCACTTTCGTGTGGTAAACAATAATAGACTTTATTTTCAGAATTTAGAACTTTTCGTTGGCCCGCATGCACAACTAGGATGAAAGCTTAGATTACAGACTTCACAATCGTATGAAAATTTCACAGATTTTTTGCAATGTTTGCATATTTTTACGTTTTCTTTAGGAGTTTCGAAGTTTGATTTTTCACGTTGTTTTTGTTCAACATAACCCACAGATTTATTAACTTTATTTGGGGAATGTAATGTGAGGTTCCCTATAAACTTTCAGTGTAATTTAGAATTTAGTGGGTATTTCATTGTTATGTCATAACTGTCCTAAAACTGTACCGATTTTGAGAAAAAATGGACACAATTTTGATAGAGGGGGTATTAATCACCTGGCAGAAAATGAATGTGGAATCGATGTGAAGCTTTATCAAAAATCATCAGAAAGAAAAAAAAATCAATTTGGAGTAAATTTTTTCATATTTTCAATTCATAAGAGCCCTAAACCGTACCTATTTTGAGAAAAAATGGACAATGTTAATAGAGAGGGTATTAATCACCTGTCAAGAGAGTGGACACAATGTTGATAGAGTGGGTAATAATCATCTAATCACCTGTCAAAAAATGAATGTGAAACTCGATGTGGAACCCTATCGAAAATCATCAGAAAAAAAAATCAATTTGAAGCAAATTTTTTCATATTGTCAACCCATAAGTGCCATAAGTGCCCTATAACCGTACCGATTTTGAAAAAAAAATTGACACAATGTTGATAGAGAGGGTAATAATCACCTGTCCTGTCAAAAGATGAATGTGGAACTCGATGTGCAACCCTATCGAAAATCATCAGAAAGAAAAAAAAAAAACTCAATTTGGAGCAAATTTTTTCATATTTTCAATTCGTAAGGGCCATCATTTATGTTATGGTAATATAGTAAACGCTCCGTCACTAAAATAATATATTTCCATTTTGCAAAGTTAAAATATTTAATTTGGAAAATTATAGTTAAATAACTAGGTATAAATTCTCGCAATGCGTTTTTTTTTTTCGACCGGAATATACCCCGGAGCATTGAAGATGACGTGTCCGGGCCCCACTCGGACTGGGGCCCCGGAGCCGGTATCGGCGGACTTCGCTTTGCGCGGGCTCTCAATAATATTCCGGTCGTTGTCAGACTTTGGATGCGTTTTCGCTGTTCCGTTCCGACACCGACGATCAATTCGCTGCTCGCTGCCGACTCTGACACAGTCAAAACAACGTCGTCTTTCTCCGGCTCCGGGAAGTTCGGAGTTTTTAAGTGTATCAGTGCATAGTGGTTTTTTTTTTCTCAGTGCCAGCACCTAGGATATTGAATTTTTGGATTTTTCAATCTAAGTGTTTCTCGTTGGGTTTTTGCTGACCTTTGAAAAGGTAGGTTTAGGAAATTCGATTAATTTCGCGGCAAATTGCAGAAGCTAACTATTATTACGCAATGTTTGTTATGATAGTTCTATGATCATACATTTTCATATAAGTATTCGGTATAAATTTTTTTTACGAAATATGATTATTGTGATTGATGATTGATGATAAACAGAAATCAATAAATGCGAATCCGATATTTTACCAGGAACGGTATTAAAAAAAAATTAAATTCTACTGTATTTCTAGTGGGAGTCATCAAAGGGTGCTTTTTCGAACAAATTTCTTTTTTTTTAATTTCTTAAAACAAATAAAGATTTCCAGGTGAATCCATATAAACTAAATGTAAAGTGGAAAGCATTTGTATACCAAAGCCTTTTCCAATTAGATAGGTAGGTACCTAAACTAAAAGTACCAATTACCTCCTACAGATCTTTTTCTAGCTGTATAAATTTTAACAAATATGGTTCCGTGGTGGTTAAAAAAAAACCTAACAATAAATAATAGATAAATAATGGCGTAGGTACCTACTTACATTTAAAAGCTGCTACATAGACAAATTCAATATGTGTAGATTTTGGAACGTTTATAGTTTATTTGTCATTGGTTTATTTTTGAAATTGTTAATTAGTTGAAACAAATTTGACTCATTTCCTCCAAACCCAATCGAAATCTCTACTGACTTTACTTTGTATACAAACACAAGAAAATATAATTTATCAATCAAAATTCAAGTTGTGCCATTGTGTTTTTTGTGGTAAATTTTTTAAAATTAAAACAAATTTCAGAATTTATCAAAAAATCTTGTATCTGTATGGAAATGAGAAACTTATTGCGGAAATGTATAAGCATGAGATTGGATTCATAATGACACACTTTAAGTATCTATCTAATGAATTGCAAAAAAAAAATAGTGGAATTATTTAAATGATTTAAGAATATCGTATGCATTATTTATTTTTTTGACGAAATAGGAATTTCCAAGAGTAGATGAATAGGTATGTACCTACCTATTGAAAAAACTGGTATCTACCTAATACAAACCAAATTTAACCAATCAAGGGTCAGATTACTTGCCCTATTTTTTGCAAAACAATATGTTCCATGGATTGGCACTCCACATAGACTTTGGATATCGATTAAACCGTTAAAGCCCTCTGCCAAGGCCTCAGTAGAGGCCACGGCCAAAAATACCATCTGGCTTTCACATGACAATAGCTATAGAATGAACTATAGAGACTCGCTAATGTTTCCATAAAGCATACGAATATTTTATCATCTAATGTGAACTTTTGATCGAGAAAATATTAATAAAGAATTTAAATATTTTCAATTATCTGGATGTAATCACTGATTTTTTTGAAAGTTTATATGATATTTCTGGGAATAAAATCCTATTAAACTTATTTAACACCTAAAATGACAAAATGTATGAATTACTGATTTCCACTGAATTATACTGAGTACAAAAAAACGTGAAGCAGAAATACAGTAAGCAGATGAAAATAATAATTAATTATTTTCACTATTACTTATCCAAATACATAGAATAATGTAGGAATCAGAAGAACATTAATTTTTGGTTAAAGCTCGATTGATATTCAAATTCTAGACTCCTATCATTTCCATCGTGATCTTCTCATGAGGTTTCCAACAGAACGCAAAAAAAAAATTTTATAGTGGGAAAACATCGAGGAAATCAGAAAATTTGAAACGACATGAATTATTCATTGATGAAGTCCATGCATTAGAAGTAAATGGTCCCGGATAAAAGAATATAAATCTTTCCCAGACAATAACATTTTCTAACTTAAGCAATAGCAAATACAACTTGTTCTTGATAAGAGTGTTTTTATTTCATTTATTCTGCTATAGGGATATAAATTTATTATACAACAATTACGTATTCCAAATCAATACATGCATTATCAACTACAGCCTCAGGTAGTATTGGTAGTTTCCAGTAGTGTAGTGTGCTAATACCAGCAATTAAACATTTTATAATTATTGTTTTTGTGAATTACATGCAATAGCGATAAAAACATTCCATAGGCTTGTAAACAGCCTTGAGATAACCTTTAATAATTTATTTTGACATTTACTTGATCGATACTGGAACATAAGGTTTGTGTTATGACAACAAACGAAATCAGGCGAGTTCGGTTAATCCTCGGCGAGCAAAAGAATAACCTGCTCCACGTTGTAAGATTCGGACATTTGGAATAAACGAAATATAGTTTCAAAGATTTATTTCAAGCTAAACTGAACTCATTCCGTCACTCTATCTCTCACCCCTGCTCTGTCAAAATCAGATGTTTCTTTATCAGACCAAATAAACTCTACATGTTCCTTAAGCAGTTGTCTCATCGAGCTGGTAACATCTGCCAAATTGGGCAAAAACTTAGATACATAGGTAACCATTCCTAGCAAAATCTGTACTTAGTTCTTTTTTGTTTTTTGGATTGTTTAATTACAAAATAGCACTCACCTTGTCTTTATCAGGGCGTAAACCATTTTTTGTAAACTCATGACCTAATGACCTATATAACATACTTCACTTAACCCAAGTCGATTGAAGCGAACATTGGCACGTTTAGCTCTGTCTAACACTGCTTCCAGTCTTTTGGCGTGTTCTTCTTTATTCGTTGCCAAGACTATAACATCATCTATGTAAATTTCCACTCCTGGAAGTCCATCAAAAATATTCTTGAATGTACGATGAAAAATTTCCGGTGCAGAGCACAGTCCATAAGGCATTCTCCTATAACAATATCGCTCATAACACCCAGCATTAAATGTAAGTATTTCACTTTCTTCATGCAACTTTATTGCCGTCCAATATTGAAAAAATATTTGCCCCTTCCATCTTAGATGCAATTTCCTCAAAAGTTGGAAGCTGATACCACTCACGTACTAGGTATGGCTTTATTCAGATTTTGTGGGTCTAAACAAATTCGAAGACTATTGTCTGGTTTTTTTTACAGTGACCATAGAACTACACCACTCAGTTAGTTCAGTCACTTTTCTCAAAATGCCCATTTTATCCAGCTCACTTTCAACTGACTGCTGAAGGCTGATTGCAATTTTTGTTGGAGGTTATACAACTGGCTCTACCTTTTTCTTCAACTATATTTTATATGAATTTATCATTTCACTAATGCCTTGAAAAATATGGTCGTATTTTTTTACTAGACTTCAATCACATATATTATTTGTCTTCCTGTTCTACCGATCCTACTCTCTTTAGCAGATTAAGCATCTCAATAAATGGAAGACCAATTATGCAAGGAGCATTGAAGTTGACTACAATGAACACTACATTGTGTTTTTTATTATTAGTTTCACAGTTTGTCCACAAACACCCATTAAAGAACTTCATTGTTCGATAGCTTTGTATTGGATGACTGAACTCCAGCATTAAGTTCTTAAGCAGTTCTCAAGTTCAAAACATTAACATCAGCACCAGTGTCCATTTTGAAACAAATTTCCTTATTATTGACCATTAGTTTTTGCATCCAGCCAACCAAACCTACTTGTCCTACTTTCTGAACTGTGCCTATAAACATTTCCTGCTCTTCTTCATCAGCTTCTACTGAATATACATTATGAGTCATGTTTCTTTTTTCACGACAGTACTTTTGAAAATGACCAAACTTGTTACATGCTTTCAATTGCCTTCTATAAGCGGGGACATCTTGAACCATGAAAATATCCATAATTGCCACACTGTTTTTTATCGACTCTATTTTCTGAGTTTGTTCTAACGCTATTTCCACTTTGATTTCGGGCTTCATATTGATCTTTTTGTGAAGTAAACTCTCTGTATTATCCTGATTTTTGTGCTTTCTTCACAATATTAACATTTGTCTCAGTTTCTAGCTTTTTTGATTGAAGGTCAGCTAACTCCGACGCTCTACAGATATTCACATATTTTGTCAAATCTAATTGACGCTCTCTTAGCAACCTATCTGTTACTTTAGTGTCCTCTATTCCACATACAATCCTATCTCTAATCAAACTATCTCGCAGATCTCCGAAATTACAATTATGACTTAGTTTTCTCAAGTCAGTCACAAACATATCAACACTTTCACCATGTAACTGCTTTCTAGTATGAAATAGGTGTCGATTAACAGTCTCATTTTCTTTTGGTTTGAAATGTACTCCAAAATGATGTAATAATTTTTGCCAGTCTTTCTTATCATCATCAGGTATCTCTAGTGTGTCATAAATTTCTAGTACTTCAGCTCCAATTGTATGTAGCAAAATAGCAGCTTTCCTTTCAGCTGTTACCTTTGTATTATCTTTCAGACCAGAGGCATTCATATAAATGGTGAATTAGAATTGCTGTTTCCATTTTTTAAAATTTGTGGGGATATCACCCTCAAGAGACATTTCTTTGGGTTGTCGTAAAGTTTCCATCTTATTTTAATTAGGAAACGTGGGGCTAAGAACGAATTTGACTTAACTTTCTTTACGACGAAATACTCACGTATTTTGTAAAAAATTCTTCTTCACAACTTATAAATTTGGAATAAACGAAATATAGTTTCAAAGATTTATTTCAAGCTAAACTAAACTCATTCCGTCACTCTATCTCTCACTCCTGCTCTGCCATGCCACATATTACTGGTAACTATCTGACACACGTGATAAGTTTTACTACTTCAAATGGAAGATCACGTGAGCTTCTGTCAACAGTGTCATCTTTTAACCGAATTCTCCTATCATGATGTTTTTAGACAGAAATAATAACATTCCTAGTATAAGTAGCTGGTAGAAAAAAGACAGTCCCATCATGGAATGGGAATGGAGGATCGATGAACTTGTGGTCGTATAGCAAATTATATGGTAGCTGTTGCGTTCCGATTACATAGTCTAATGATTGTGAGCATTACGCAAAAACATTGATTTCCAATTTTCTAGGAATAAACAAGTGTCTGAAAACGCATTTGAAATAATTATAGCGTTTAATAAGCGCTTTCTACATGGTACATGTATGGTGTGTCTAAATGTCTTCCGTGAATGTAAAATATTATAAAATTTTCTACCGATTTATTAATCCGAAGATTAAATTCTCAGAATAGAACCGCATTATACATACAAGGAAATCGAAGCTCTTATAAACCTCTACAATCATGTTTCAATATTGATTATTTAAAGGCGTGATATATGGGTTTTAAATGTTTGCCCAACGAATATTTCTGCATAAAGCCTCTCCATGTTTGCATTTGCCTATATTTTCAGATTAATAATAACTAGGAAGTGTGGAGAAGATAATTATTATTGCTTGAGGAAGTTTATAAGTCATATTTTTTTTTTTCATAGAGAAAATAAATAAGCCAAGTATAAAAATTCGTCTTTGTCCACTCCACTAATAACCTTTAAATTAAACTTCCGCTTTTCAATTATTACACGCTAGATAGAGAAAACAAATTAGTCGTAATTTCTTTATTTATACGCTTCATCCGCGTCTTTGTATTTTGGAATTTAAGCAAGTATTGGAAATTAACGGTTTTTTTTTTTTTTTTCAAATTACTTAACTATAAAGCTATATAGCTGTATCCTACGTGCGTTGCTAGGCCTCCCCAGAAACGATTGTCTTAAACTAACCCAAGCTTCCACACTTCAGATCTATCCCACAGGAATGATCAATTTTGCCGGGAGAGAAAGAAGCTTATAACACTCGCCTTTATATAGAGACTATGTGGTACACATTTCAAGGAGATCGGTTCAGCGGTTTCTGAGTCTATAAACAACGAACAAACAAACAAACATTTGATTTTTATATATTAGATATAGGAATATTCACGATAACGAATTGAAATTATACATAACAAGGACCCATATGATCACTTCAACGTGAGTAGTTTATTTTCCATGTTAGGTATAAATCCCTCGATAAATCCAAACTAGTCTTGTGAACAAGATAGATAATATCAGCGGTAAGTATCAGGCGAAGGCAGGAATTTAAAATCCAAAAGTTGAGCCAATTATCGATCAGCAATTTGACAATTAGCCAATCCAACAGAAAAACTTCCATTATAATCAATTTACAAAACACTAAACACACCTGAAGAAAAATCCCTAATTGAAAATCATGCATTCAATTTCTTTCCCCCTTCACAATCCTGAACACAGGCATCCCCTAACTTCTTCAACTTTTCCCAAAAATTGAAAGTCAAATGTTTTGTAACATACGTCATGTTACAGATATGAAATGTGACGTACAGGTCTATGGATAGAGAATTTCATTAACTATCCGCATGATTTGAAACCCAATCTGCAGTCCGGCTTCTATAATTCTGTACTCCAAAGGAATGTGAACTGCTGGCTCCTACGTTAGCACGCCAATGGTCACCTGACCTCACTCCTGTTTTTGCTGTATTTTTCCTCCCCTCGCTCCTCATACGGAAAGGGTCAAATTGAAAAAGCTAAACATTACCTTGGTTTTGGTATTCTAATAATGCACCAAAAAGTTTCATATGCTCACCCTTCAGCTACTCGAAAATCATTCTTTAGGAGATTTTATGAAACTTACTAAAAGCGGCGTGAAAATGCTTTATGTTGCATCTGGGTCTCCAGGTTCCTGAAGTTATCCAGAATAGTATCTTCATCGGTACACGCTTCCAGTGTGTCATATCTCCTTAGGCGCATTCTCACTTAAGTCATAAAGGTTGTCGAATTCTGATCAAGGTTCAAGCATCCCAATCCTGCGTTACATTGACCACGAACTTTGGAGCATTGGTAGACCCACTTTTCTACATCCAAATTTTGCACCTTACACTTGCAAAAGATCGTGTCCAATAAATCGTCTGGTGCAGGTGCCAATATAGTATTGTCGAAGACGTCAGCCAATAAGCGATCAGATATTTTGTCCATTCTTATTTTTTTTTTTTCATCGTTGCCTTATTAGATAATGTTTTTTTTTTATGGAACTGTGTTATTTTCGTCACACCTTGACATTACTTCTTCGTGAAACTATAGTCTCCTATCGGAGTGATCCATCAATAACAAATTTGGGTAGTACTTTTCGTTGAAGTGAGACATAAACTTTCTTCTCCAGCATTTGTTTTGTGAGAGAAGAGAACTCATAAAACAAGGAAAAAAAGATACACCAGAAGACAGAGCGACTAACAAAATAGCCAGAATGATAACAAAACAAGATAATAAAAGCTACCAAGATAGAACAAAAACGCTTAGACGTTTCCAAACGGGAGAACGCATACAAAAAAGAAATTACAAAGCTGATGAATAAACAAGCAAGCATTATAGAAGACAGAGATGGAATATTGCGAGTAGCGGAAAACTTCTTTAAGGAACTACCTATACTACGCGAAAAGCAACAACGAAAATAACAAACAAGAAATCGAAAACGAAATATCCAAAATTCTAAATGTGTTACGTACAAATTTGGCCTTAGTACGTAACTGAGATTTCGAATGAATTCAATAATTAATTCAGGTATTTGTGAGGGTATGTATGAAGCTTTACACCTGAGGATTAATATTTTTCGGTGATTGATAGGTTTCTCATTGGATTTTACTAGATTTCTACCTTTTTGTTTGAATGCGAAACAATATGTGGGTGTATATTTTCCAAGGTAATACTGAGTTAATTCTTTGTATTCAGATGACAGGGTAGTTTTAGGATAATAAAGCCCTACTGATAGGATCGAAATCTATTTTATTTAGCTTACGAAAGTTGTCTGAAAAGCTCTAACTGTTAATGAAAATGTTTGTTTACTTCCAAATAAATATCAATTGGCAACACTTACGAGTCTCGTAATTATTTAAAATTCCGCAACATCACAGATCACTTTCACACCCTTTAAATCGCTTTTTTACCCTTAATTCTACGAATATTCACATTCTCCCGGTTATTTATTTTCCCTGAATAAGTGTGGTTATGGGACACTTGTTGATCCTGTTCAGGAATGCCAATCTTTCTTGACCATTGTTGCTATCGCGTTGCTACTACGTTGCTATCACTGAACGAGTGGTCATTTTGATGTTTTTTAGACTAAAAACCGGTAGATGATGATTAATTATTAATTAATAAGTATTGGGGACAAAATTAGATAACAACTTTGAGTTTTGTTTGTCATCAATGTGGTTTGGGTTGTTCGTTTCAAGCCGATTGTCTCGTTTTCCTGGTCAAGACCGGAAATCTGGCACCAGAGAGCATCTTGGAACACCTAGAATTATGAGAAATTTCTTATATGAGCTCACCTGGTGAATTGCTAAAATAGGGTCGATCTCTTTAAATTCGCACGTTGAGCAAGCAACAAGTTCTTGGCAGATTTTACCGGCGGCCCTCTTTGCTGCGTTCTTTGGAACATCCACATTTTGTGGGATTTTAGAACCGCTGGGAACTCAAGTCGGCCTTATTGACAATGGCTCAATTGGTTTTGGGGTGAAAACTTGGATTTGGTCGTAAGTCCCCGTATTTTTAAGCCAACCACTCAGAATTTTCTGGAGACGAAAATCTACGCCATTTTGTTGAATTGTCGATGCGAGAAGCGAGCACGTTTTGTTAAACTAAGATCCCGAATTGTAACCAGGGTTTTAGGTTTTACTTTTCCATTGGGTTTTTCCCTTTCGACGTTTTGCTAACTTTCCGAAGGTGAGGTGTCAGAGTATCCACAACACTGAACTTGAAACCGAAATTTACCCTATAAATAGTATACAGGGTGTTCCGAAATTAATGCACCAAATCTTTATGACATATTCTACGTCGAAAATAAGCCCTAGTTATCTATATAAACATATGTCCGGAAACGCTTCCTTTCCGAGATACAGGGTGTTGAAATTCTAAGAAAAAAACAATTTTTTTATCATAATTCGTACCACTTTGAAATTTTGTACACTGCTTTCAAGCAGCAAAAGACATTTTCTAATGTGAAATATTTTTAAAAAAAATACCAGTGACGTCACAAAACTAATTTGAAACTTTAGGTGTTTAATGTTTATCATTTTTATTATAATTTTGGCGAATTCGTCATGAATCAAAATGGTTTTTTATTTTTTTACTTTAAAACGGTGCATCTTTCGGAAAAAAGTGAAGAGATCAAATTTATTCCAAATTGAATGGGGATTTCAAAAATGATTTTTATTTTAGAAAAAAGCACTGACGCACCATTTTTTTCTTAAAAAATATTTCTTACAAATCTGGTAGGACGCCACTGGTAATTTAAAAAAATATATTTCTACATCAAAATATGTCTTTTACTGCTTGAAAGCAGTGTACAAAATTTCAATGAAATATCTAGAGTGGTTTGAAACTTATGATAAAAACATAGTTTTTTTCTTAGAATTTCAACACCCGGTATCTCGGAAACCAAGCGTTTCCGGACATATGTTTATATAGGTAACTGGGGTTTATTTTTGACGTGGAATATGCCATAACAATTTGGTGCATTAATTTCGGAACACCCTGTATTTAAGAAGGGAAGTCAAAATAAGTTGATGGGGTCTGTTATCAGGTCTGTGAGGCTGTCATGAGAAAGTAATGGAAATGGATGTTTAGACTGCAGGGAGGACCACAAGGGGGTTATGTACCCGTTGATTTATTAACGTTTTCTAATTATTTTTTTAAATTGTTATTAATAGTATTTCTTATATTTAACTTGGTACATTTCCAAGTTTGTTTTACCGCCTTCATTATTACAATTATTACAATGGGTGTAGTGTACCAATGAATATTAATTTACTATATTTAAGGTGAAATTTTTGTACATACAAACCCGCCCCGGTATACCATGGTATAAGCGTGTACAGGTTTTAATTAATACTATTAATCTATTATTATGGTCGCAAATTCTTAATTTAGGACAAGGATCCAGAAATGAGCGAGAGGAGAAGATCGATACCAGAACAGAAGCAACAAAATGTGTAAAGTCCGTCGAATTTAATCTGATACTCCAAAAAAATGTGAGCTGGTGGTTCCCTACATTACAACGCCTGACGTCACACCTGTTTTTGCCATATTCTTCACCCCCTCGCTCCTCACACGGAAAGTATCATATTAAAATCGACGGACAATATGTTGTTGACAGTTTCTCCGAGAAAAGACCCAACAGAAAATGGACCTGAATATCACCAGAGAAACTAAGGGAACAAAGAAAAACTTTTGACAGTAGGTAAGACACATGAGTAAAACTTCAAATTAATTCAGGTGCCACAAAAATAGTAAAAAAAAGCACAATCGAGGCGGTAAACTACAAATAACATTCCAATCACTCGCATATTCACGCATAATAATTAACAACAGTTCTGACATGTATTGTTATGCTTTTCCACGATTCAATAAAAAAATGTAAAACAATGATTAACCCAGCCTCGAATAATATAAACAATGGATTTAATTTTCGTCACTCCACCGCAGTGTTTTTATTTGAATGACGCCTTAAAAGGCAATTACTCGTTATTATTATAAATTGCATGATTATAGATTATTCTGCAAAATACCATTTTACTTTAAAAATGATTAATGGCATGTGCTGATAACAGTCGCGACTGTTGTGCGATAAACCTTGTGACCCTTAGATTCTTCGAAATTATTCATTATTTTGTTAAACATCAACAATCATTATTATTTAACGAATTCTTGAACTGGATTTAGCTTAATATTATATCAAAAACAACAACAGTTTACAGCTATTAAAAATCAAGCAACGTGCTAATTGCCAAAATACTACCAATTTTAATAGTTTCTTGATCGTAAAGTGTTACAATTACAAATTATTAGCAAATAAGAAATTGTGCCAAGGACTCCCACAAAGGCCCGACGCTAAACGATCGACATTGAAGTGTTTATTAACTATTATGTACAATTAGCAGACCAAACAAATAGATCCCGGCCCAACTCATTAAATGGTTAGTCAAATTTGTGCAAAACACGTGATTAGGTGTATAAATGAAATATTGAAACAGCTAGCCCTCTCCTTTATCCAAGCCTCACATCAAAATTACTTGAAGTTGTGTTATAATCCAGGTTATATAGTAATTAAACCTTTTTGAAAACAGAAGCTACTGATGATTCACAGTTTGTGATTATTATTTCTTAAATTTCTGCCTGCAACAAAATAATTTTAAAACAGAAGTACAGAATACTTACACTTGAACCCAATCAACAATATGCTGTATTGTCTTCGTATTTTCAATTGACATTCTGAATGCACGCCTTGTACCAAAACACTTTCGACATTTGTAAGTGCAAAATTGTGTAATGTACGGGCTTATCACTCCCCATTGTGCATTTAATTAGGATTGAAACATTAGCAGGTATTTACGAGTTGGGTTAGTGATAATGGCTATTGATGCAGGTTGCAGGACGGCAACTGTGAGTTAGGGAAAATAGAAAGTGTATGTTGTTAAATACATAGAATCTGAAAGTTTGAGGTTATGTGAATAAATAGTTCACACAAAAGTTGCAGACCTTTTTATTACCTACAACTTTTATATTTAGCTTTTTCCGATAGGAGATGTAGTTCCGCTGGAAATCTTGAAAAACCATTTTCCACCCCTAAAAGTTCACCCCATGTTACCCTCGTAACTAGGATTCAGTATAATTTATTTTTTCCGTTGTTTCCGCAATGTTTTCTTCATTTTTCAACAGTTTTCATGCTGTTATTAATTTTTTTTTTCAAAAAAATCATTTGCACTGGTCTATGAATCAATCCGAGCTGTTCATTTCTCTCCTCGTTTCTCTCCCTATAGTCCATATATCAATGCCACTGAAGTAAGATACAGGAAAGGATGGGTGATTTTTTCTATGAGAATTTTGATGCTGAGGAAATGGTCAGCAGTCCTAAAACCATGACGAAATCCTGCCTGCTTCCAGAGTTGGAAGCTGTTCAATTTAAGTTACAAGTAATCGGT